CCTCTTCCTTCTCATAAAAGTTTATGACTAGAAAGGATCTTTGAGGCCATTTTTTTAAATTTGATAGCAGACATGGTGATTCTTTCGGTAGCAGCCCTGGCAAAGAGTTTTCCTTTATCTTCAGTATTCATTCTGGCCCTAGATTCTCTTCTTCCTTCAGAATCACCCTTGAAATTGTCTTGACCATTTAGTTTTTTGTACTACCCCACAGGTTCCCTTGTGTACCTCGAAATCAATTCTACAAGATCATTCTGCTCTCATTTTCTAGCCCTGTCAGCTTCATCCTGCATAAAACAACTTCACTTTTAAAGCCTTCTGATGTCTGGCTCTGCCCCTACTCTAAGTTAGATTTGACATGAGCCTCTGGGCTCCAGGCAGGAAAGTTTCCATCTGCACATGTCACACCCATTCCAGCCTCTGGAACTTTGTTCAAGGTTCTTCCACACCCAACCTGGAGTGCTCTTTCTCTTATCATTGTGACTATAGTCCTGCCTGTCTTTCAAGGCACAATTTAGTTTGAGAATTTGACACCTACTGCCCACAGTTTCTGATTTAAAATTACTTGTGCTCAGGATAACACAGTTTAGTTTTTGTATTCTCTGATACTTACACATATATATTTTTTATTTTCCAACTAGATTGGAAGACTGCGTGAACAGGATCTGTTTTCATATCTTTTTATTTACTCTGTCTCCTGCCACTCCCCACCCCACCACTGTCTTGATGTATTATTGCTCTGTAAACATTTGTTGATCATATGTGGAGGCACTCAACTCTCTCTTTTTTTCTTCCCAACTTCTTATATTGGAAAAATTTCAAAGAGTTGCTAGACTAGTTTAATGAACAACTGTACACCCTTCATTTAAATTCAGTTAACGTTTTGCTACATTTACTTTATGTAAATAAATAAACTAAATACACACACACACACACACATCTGAACTATTTGAGATTTAGTTGCATTCATTGTATTTCACCCTTAAATACTTCCATATGTACTCAGTAGGTTATTGCTTTGCACAACCACACTATAAGATTGTTCTCAGGAAATTAAAATTAATACAAAAGTATTATATACACTCCGTATGCAAAACTGTCCAGTTGTTCCAATCGTGTCCTTCATAGCTGTATTTTTAATCAACCATTGCATATTACATTTAGTTGTCATATCTCTTTAATTTCCATTAACCAGAACAGTTTCCACAACTTTTTTTTTTATGATGTTGTTTATTTTGTTTATTTGTGAAGAGTCTAAGCCAGTTGATTTGCAGAATACCCCTTAGTTTTGATTTATTGTTTCCTTTTGGTATGATTTATATTAAACATTTTTTGCAGGATTTTGGTGGGGCTCTGTCACTCCCTGAGCATCATGTCATAGAGTACACGATGTCAGTTTGTCCTATCACTGGGGCTAAGTTTGATCACTTAGTAAGGTGTGCATCAGATTTCTTTGTAAAAGTACTTTTCCTCTTTGTAATTAATAAGTAATCTTGTTAGGTAGTCCTTTACCTTTTGAGTCCATAGCTTGTTCTAACAGAGCTTTAACCTGAAGAAATGAGGTACAGTATGGACAGGAGGGTTGGTCTCTAGTTGTAAATAGGAAAGGAAGTGGTGAGGAAAGAGTCAAAAACATGTTGCCCACTTTTGCCTTTGGTTACAGCTTAGCTCTTACCCAGCTACCCAATGGAATGCCCTGAGGCTATTGTACAGGTTTTCGTCCTATTTGTTCATTAGTTCTACACATCTGTGTAGCCCCTTCACCAGGCACTGTGCTAGCACTGAAGGCACAGTGGAGAAGAAGGGGATATAGCACCAAACAAGATAAACACAGTTACTGCCCTCATGGAGCTTACAGTATAGTGAGATAGTCCAGAAAGAAAACATCTACAAATCGTATTAAGTACAATAAAGAAAATAAGCAGCATGCTGAGACCAAGGGATATTTAAGCGTGCCTGAGTTCTATCCTGCCTTGGGCAGAGACAACAGTGTCACCAGGAACAATTGTCGCTCCACTCCTCTCACCCGTTCAGAAATGTCAGTCATTGATGTACCAGGTGCCAGTGCTGGAGGCTGCAGCCTGACCTTGCATGTCAACAGCTGATTAAAACAGCCATTTTTATGACCTGCTCCAGACACGCACATATTATCAGAACTATTCAGGAACCATTGATAGCAGTGTAAAAAAGCTGAATAAATTCTCAGGAGGCCTAAGCCACTTACAACCCTAAACCTGTCAGGCAAGTCACGCACATGCCTACTTCAAACACCCTCTTCACCTCTTCACGCAAGGGAGAGTTTCCCTGAAGTCCATGCATTTCTTCACCTACTTGTTCTTACTGCTGAATTGAAAATGGGTCAGAGCAGCGAGACTTGAGCCTGCCACCCTACAATCAAGCTGGCTTTCCAGGTCTAGGTCTTGTGCTGTGTGTACAGGTGCCCCCTCTCCCATTCTGAGGGCTCTCTGGGAGCAGACCTCACTTTCTACTGCCTCTCTCTAAAAATATAAAACTCACGGTACAGGGAGAGGAGAGCTTATCCCACCCAGGCTGGCTAGATGCTGCAGCTGGACACTGTGTGGCTATTACTATCTCCTCACTGATCTGCGTTGGGGAGGAAGGGGCACTGCTGATGAATTGGCACATTCTGTAGCTCAGGGAAAGACGAGGCCAGGAATTTCTTTTGCTCAGTCTGCTATTGCAGGGTCTAAGACTCCACTGTACTGATTATCTAAAAGGAATGTGCAAGCACCACAAAACACTTCTTTTCAACATTTACACACAAAGTCCAACCAGTCAGACTGGCTTATCAGAAAGAGGCAGAGGAAAAAAACTCCATGTCTTATCAATAAGCAGCACAGCTATTTCATGGGTATAGGGATTTATCTAGGAATTTGAATTTTAATTCCATTCTGTGCTGGTCGCCCAATTGGGTGGTGATATCACACTGGTCCTTTTTTGGAGTATAAAACCACTGGTAAATTAATACCCTCCCAGACCTATAATGTACAGACAGTCCCTGCAGATTTACATTAAAGCTACCACTAAATACAGTTTGGTATCAAGTTATCTCTGAAAGGAGAATTCATTATGAGAAGCTTAAATACACCTAATACTCTTGATTAGGGTCCACAAGGCCTCCCATGATCTTGCCCCTATAGAGTTCACCCCTTTACCTTTACCTTGGACTCCAACTGCCATCATGCTCCAGGCACCTTGGTTGCGACAATTGTTCCTGGTGACACTGTTGTCTCTGCCCAAGGCAGGATAGGACTCAGGCAGATAGAGAGGCTCCATTAACCAAGAAGATAGTGTTAATTTTAATGTGTAGATATTTTTATTTTATTATCATCGTTACATTAAATTATTATTCTTTGACCTTCCCTTGAGAAGATACAGACCTGGAGGCTTTAGGTTCAGTCTTTGTGTTTAGATTCTTGTTGTTAAAATGTATAGCCCTAACCTCATTTTGTGTGATTTTAAGAATCTGTGGACAAGATTAGACACCTGATAGAACCTCAAGAAATTTCTCTTGAAACAATCAGTAAAAAAGACAAGTTTTTTTTATGCAAGGCCCTGGAACCGATAGGATGATGATGAACTTCCACCTTAGAGTTCGGCCAGACCAGAAATAGCACTAGGTTTGCATCACTTATAGGTTTGAGTATCTGATGTGAACGAACTCACCTCTATTGATAAATATAGCTAAGACAAGTTGAAGAGGTGGGGGCCCAAGAAGTAAAAGGACTCTTTGCCTACTTTGAGGAGTTTACATTCCAGTGTAGATGAGGACACAGGATCTAAAAAAGCATCTGATCTGTCCAGACAACTAGTTCCATGCAGTCCACGATGACTTGCTAATGGGAATCTTGTTCGTTAGTCTGTCAGCCAGTGCGGCCAGATGGGGCTCTTTGCAAAGGGTCTGTTCCCAGTGACTTTTAGCATTTTTGAGATAGCATTTGTTGTCAAGGCAAAAGCTGCTCATTACAGATCATAATTTTCGATTTTGCTGTTTCCTGTCCTGGTTTTCTGGGCCCTGAAATGGCACCTGGTGTGTTGATACTGATACATATAGTACTGTAGACTTTTTCAAGTGTAGCAGCTATTGCAGATTTTGATCTTATAAAACCAAGTACTTTCCATGATGTACTTTCAATGACTGATTCTCTCTAACCTTTATAGAGTTCTCTTTATTTATGGAGAATAAAATGTGCAGGATTCTTCTGAATAGCTTAAAGCAAGCCATAGGTTACTTTCTGTGTACTGTTTCCCTGTAGTATGAGTAATGGGTCACGTTCACCCCATATGGGGAGAAAATGACAAATTGCATGAGAAAACAAGTTGCTAGTTGAATTTCTTAAGCAAAGAGAAAGAGCTAAGTAGAAGAGAAGAGGAGGAAGAGGAAGTAGGGAACAGATGGGATCAGTGAATCATACTGCCTTGAAATCGAATAGCAGGACTAGAGGGTCAGAAGGGTTAGGTAGTGTCTATTCCACTTCTAGAGAAGGATAAGGGGACTGCTTGTGAGGAGAACCCCCCTACTGGGACAGACTGCTTGTGAGGAGAACCCCCCTACTGAGACAAGCATGTTATCTCCTAATGTGGTTAATAGGTGGTTGTTCCATGCTTTGTGCTGGCCTTTTCTTGGTAGTACCAAATATATCTTGGTGAATCTGGCCTTCATGATGAAAGATAAGCTGCTAAGAGAGCTTAAGTTCAACCCCACTCCGTATGGTAGCTTGAACAAGTTGTTACTCAGTTCTGTATCCACTGCTTGAGGCTCTGGGGGTCTACATAGTATGCCTCAGTCGCAGATGAGGCAGATGGGTGAGGGCAGAGTCAGTCTTAACATCTTGGCTTTCACAGAATCCTGGATTTGTACATGGTACATTTACTGATACCATGTACCAGATCTTGTACTAGGACTAGGAATACACCCATTTGTGGACCTGGTTTCCTATAATCGCTATCCTTTTCTCTCCTCACCTCCTGTTGGATTGCAGACTCTGGCCTGGTTGTCCCAAGTGTTTCCTATGAGCTACATAAAAAGCTGTTGTCTGTGGCTGAAAAGCATGGTTTGACACTGGAGCGGAGACTGGAGATGACAGGCGTGTGTGCCAGTCAGATGGCACTGACCCTGCTTGGAGGACCCAACAGGTAAATGCCTCTAGACTATTGGGAGCCAAGTGTGGGGTGGTAGTACTTTGCTGGGGCCCCACCACCGTGCCTCACACAAGAGAAGTTCATCAGATAGCTGCTGCTCAACTAATGGGAACACCTCTATGAAGCCACTTTCCTGGATGCTGGAAGGTTTTTGTTTGCCTCTCTTAGCCCTCTTCTGGAAGTCCTCATTCTTCCCTCAGCAAGCCACCCTTTAACCCTTTCTTTCCTGATAACAGCTGGCTTTGAGACTGCTACTGTCACAGACCTGCCTTCTAAGAACCTTCAGAGACCTGGCCTTCGGCACTTGTCATTCACTCAAAGGGGCTGGGATACAAATCTCTTGAGTTCCATACCTGAGAACTTCTAGGACCACCCTGACAACTGGGTGGGAGAGCTGGAGTTTGGTACCTTTTCACCTGCCCTTTGGGTTCATATATCAGGAGCAGTGCTTAACTTTAGTTGTAGACATTTACTGATATCATGTACCAGATCTTGTGCTAGGACTAGAGATACAAAAAAGAATAAAATATGCTCCCACCCTATAGCCAAGTGAGCTCTTTAGAAAGTACCATGCCCTTGTAGAGGAAACAAGATTCTCTAGCAAGCCACTTTCTACTCCAGGCTGGAGAAGCCAGTTACCCTTCTTAGAGCAGGGCATCTAAGCTGAGTCCTGCAGAGCAAGGAGGAATTAATGGGCAAGCAGGAAGGGGGAAAGTAGTCTGGATCTAGGGTGTAGCATGTGCCAAGAACAGAAAGAATTAAGAGACCATGGAAGTGGTAGGGATCCAAAAGTCATTCAGTGTGGCTGGAAAGTAGGGCTTTGCTGCAACTGAGCAGTAAGGGAGCTGCTAAAGGGATTTCAGTAGGGCTGTGACATGATTAGTCTTGCGTTTTAAACAAAAATGACTTTGGCTGAGTAGATTGAGTGGAGGCAAGACTGGAGGCAGTGAGACCAGTTAGGAAACTAACAGAAAACTGAGCCTGGAACCAAATGATGGTGACCTTAACCAGGGAAGTAGGGATCAGAGAAGTGGAGATAAGTGTGTGGCGGGGGGTGGGGGGAGTTTAAAGATAAAATCAACAGTAGGAGGGTCATGGAATTAATGTGGGGGTGATAGAAAATAGAATGTCCGTGGTCACTGAACTTGAAGCTTTCCAGCATGTACACCTGGTTGGATAGTAATCACATTCACTGTGATAGGGAACGTGGGAAGAGGAGGAGTATGTTTGTGGGAGATAGTGGATCTTGTTTTGGATATGTTAAGTTTGGGAGGCCTGTGAGATAGCTAGATAGACCATTAGCAATCTGGATCTGAAGTTTAGAAAAAAATCTGAGCAGAAGAAGGAGATCTGGAAGTCATCAGCTCATAGATGGTAGAAGAGCAGATAAGATCCTCTAAAGAGAGGATGTAAAGGGAGGAACGGGCCTAGGGTAGAATTCTGGGGAACATCAGCATTAAAAGCATAGTTAAGAGATGAGAAGCCTTCCAAAATGGCTGAGAAAGAAAGCCAGAGAGATAAGAGAACCGAAAGATAGTGCTTCAGAACCAAAGAAATAGTGTTTGAAGAATAAAGGAATGGTCAGTGGTACAGCTGAGAGATCAAGCACAATTAGAGTTGACAAGCGTCTGCTGGATTTGTCAATAGAGAGGAGGACTTTGGCAACCTTGTGGGAGAGTGGGATCTAAAGTGATCCAAGCTGGATGTGAGATTTCCTCTTCTTGCTCCCCCACTCCCCTTGCCCTGTAGATTTTGGAGGGGGGGGGGTGTTTGTTCCACCTTTCCCTTTGATTTAGGCCTGCTTCTCAACCGTGCTAGATCCCTGGCCTGTCCTGTGCCAGGGAAGAACCAGTGGAGAAACCCCCAAAGGAGGAAGTGTAGTGCAAGCTGGCCCTTGGTTCTGTGACTGCCTAAGTGGCTTCCCAGAATTAGTAGTTTTGGGAAGAGGATCCGAATGTCCCTACAAAATCACATTCCTCTCTAGCCAGCTTCTTGGGGCAGGCTGTTTTTGTGCCTATCTGAACTTAGAAGGGCCACCTCCTGTCCTTTGTAGCAGTTGCTAGTTTTCCTTTGAGAAGGATAACCACAGCTAGTAATCATTTTTGTATATGTCAAATACCATGCAGTTTTTCACTGTATTTTCACAGCAGCATTGAATTTTATCTTCATAACTTCAGCATTGTAAGATGAATGAGCTAAGGCAAAGAGAGCTGAAAGACTTGCCCGTGTCACCTTGCTAGTGAGTGGTGGAGCCAGGTCTCCAATGTCTGTACTCTACCCCTGGCTGTTGGGTATGTGGGTGCCATGGTCTGCTTTGAGTCCTCTGATGGGGGATGCTTTTGTGAGAGGGAAAGACATGGATGAGTCAGATGCCAGAACTCTACAGTGTCTGTCTGAAGGGAAGAGTACTCATCATGTTTCTTTTAAGATGCAAACATAGTCTGGGAAGTGAATGATTTGGTGTATATGTAGAGTATGTTGCTAAATTCCCCAAATTTATTTGGAGGGCAGGAATTTCCTCTTTGCCAGACAGCAGCTGTCCTCTTTCTCCTTTAGGGAGACCAGTAAGTTACTGTTACTGCCTCATCAGGGACCTGTTTCTGGCTGGCTGTCTCCCTCTACCTTCTTGCCCTTCAGGCAGACCGCATGGCCTGTGAGTTGGGCACAGCTCCAGGACTAATCCTGCAAATCTCCTTACTTGTGGCTTCTCAGAGACCAGGGAGTTCTCAGCTTTGAATGGCAGGAAACTGAAAGTGACTTCATCAGGAAGTGGGTGTCCAAGGCAGCTGCCAGCCTAGGAGGCTGGGTCTCCCCGAGCCTGCTGCCTCCTCTGTGACCAGTGCTATAATGGTGCTAACGCCAGTTGAGCACTTTGTGTTGGACTCTGTTCTCAGTACATCCATTAATCTGCACAGCATCCTGTGATATAGGTACTGTTAGTATCTACAGCGTTACCTTTATTGAAGCTTATTTGGCAACTGAATAAGAGAACTTGGACTAGAAACTGTGGACAGTTTAGAACTATCCTGGTTGGTACTTGCTGGGAGTCTCTTAGGAGTTGAACCAGAGTAATCCTAGAAGAGACGAGCCTTGAGCTGGATCTCAAAGAAAAGGTAGGATAGAGTCTGACATGCAGAGGGCTTTCTGGACAGGAGACACTGAGCAGAAGCAAGAAAGCTTTACAAGTGCAGGAGAGAATAATGAGACCAGCCTTGCTGCCGTGAAGCAGGCATCTTGGGGAAAAAAAAAAAAAACAAACAAGGAAGGCTGCAGAGGTGGAAAAGCATCTTTGTTATGTAGAGTTTGGAGCTAATAGGTTCATACCGTGAGAATAGCAAGTGTTCTTGGTCAGAAAGCAGTATCCTGGCAACAGTGTTATATGGAACAAGCTGTAGGTGAACAACCTAGCGAGAGAACCCAGCAGATGACACTGGGGTCTGGGACAATGAGAATGCCACCCTGTAGACCTGTCCTGAAGTAGATTTTGGCCCCCCTCTGGAACCTGGGGCTATCAAGAATTCTGAGAACAGGTGCTGAGGCACTCATTTGGTTTAGAGTGCAAGGAATTGCCAGATCTTCAGCCGATAATGCATCTTTACCCCTTTTCCAGGTTGAATCCCAAAAATATTCATCAGAGGCCTACAGTGGCCCTGCTGTGTGGGCCCCACGTAAAGGGGGCTCAGGGTATCAGCTGTGGAAGGCACCTAGCCAACCATGATGTCCAGGTCATCCTCTTCCTGCCCAACTTTGTCAAGATGCTAGAATCTATCACAAACGAGCTGTCTCTCTTCTGCAAGACCCAAGGCCAACAAGTGTCTAGCCTCAAAGGTGAGCACCTGCGCAGGGCTGGGCTGAGGCCACCTCTTTCCTTGGTAATTTGATGATCTTATGGTACCACCCAGTGGTGACAGGGGGAAAAACACCATGAGTGTAAAGAGTCTTCATACATGCTGGAATTATCTCTGGTGTCTATTTGCCTGCTTCCCATCCCTTTACCCTCCTTCTCCCACTACTCAGATGGAAAGTGGGGGACCCACTTATTCATTTCACAAACATTTATGGACAGGCACTGTTCCTGACACTGGGGATAGGGCAATAGATTTTTTTTATTAAATCCATGCTCCCCTGGAGCTTAACATTCTAGTTAGAACAGTTGAAGAGATGATAAGTAACATCTCTAATAGGTAAGATGGTAGTGAGTTTTATGGAGACAAATAAAGCATGGAAGGGAGATAGTGAATGTTGGAGGGTTGGGTGAAGAATAGCAGACTTAGACATTTCAGGGTCAGGTCATAAAGGGCCTGTGGATCACTGTAAAGGTTTGAACTTTTACTGGGCTAGATGGAGAGTCACTAGAAGATGAAGTAGAAGATATAATCCAACTCAGGTTCCAAACGATCATCCTGGCCTGAGAGTAAACTATAGGCTTACAAAGGGAGGTGTTTAAGAGGCTGTGATAAATTGGAGAATGAGATGATGGTGGCTAAGACAGTGGCTAAGAAGTGAACGGTGGTGAAAGTTTCTGAATCATGAAGATAGGGTCTCCAGATTGGATGTAGGGAATGAGAGAAAGAGAAGGGTTAAGAGTGACTTTAAGGTCTTTGGCCTGAGTCACTGAAATAGGATGACTTGGGGGAGAAAGAACAGCTCAGAGATGCCGCTGGATATGCAGGTGGAAATGTTAATTGATATGTAGATGAGTCTGGACTTAAGTGAAGGGATCCATTCTGGAATTAAAAGTGTGTAGTTGGTATTTAAAGCCATAATGAGCCTGGACAAGATATCTCCTAGGAAGAGAGGGTAGATAGAGAAGTCGTGAGACTGAGTCTTTGTTTTGGAGTCAGGGAGTTGAGAGATCTGCTAAGGAGAAAGGGAATGAGTGGTTGGTCAGTGAAGGAGGAGGAAAACCAGAAGGGTCTGGTACCTGAAAGGCAAGTGAGGATAGTAGAGTGTGATGAGCTGTGTCAGTAAGCAATTCTGGGTTAAGTTCAAACGAAGATTGAGAATCGGCTACTGGATTTAGCAGTGTGGAAGCAATCCCCTGATGCTCTTGACAGTAGCAGTTTCACATGGAGTGGCGGGGGTAAAGTCTGATTGGAGTGGGTAAGTAAGAATAGGGGAGAAGAGGGGTGAACAAATATGGTCTAAAGAAAGGGCCTTGCTTGGTGACCAATGGCAAGCTGGGGCTAGAGCCTGAGCCAGAACCTCAGTCTCCTAATTCTCAGGCCAGGTGCCTATGAGCACACAGACCCATGGTGGCCTGTCCTAAGTAAAGGAGCTGTGGGTCTCTGAGAAGTATTACTTTAGGCTGAGAGCTGGGAAGGGTGCCTGGTGTGAGTTCCCTCTCTTGATATCTATAACACGATGCCCATTCCAGGCAAATCTTTCTCTGGCTGCCCCAAAGCCTTCCTATCCCAGCTATGCCAGGAGGCAAGCCTGAGGAGGCTGACCCTGACTTTAGTCCAATTTCTGCTATTCTCAGTTTTAACTTCTTAGGCTGGTCAAGTCTTATATTCTTAATGTTCTTATACTGTCCCAGAGGCCTACTTAGAGCAGAAAAGCCTTTTTAAATGCCTGGGAAAAGCGATACGTTCTCTCCCCATTTTTAAGGTTGGGCTGTAAGGAGGACCCATTTCCATGAGAATAGCAACAGAGGCCAGCCCAGAGTAGAATAATTGAGCCTGCTCACACTTCTAGGGCTAGTCGGCAAATAGCAGTCTCCCTGTGAGAGCTGACTGGGCAGTAGACCCCGCCTTCCCAGAGCTTATAATTTACCCTGGGAGTGAATTAGATGTGCAAAGGAGGTGAGGGCCTTGTGCTCTGAGAAGCTCTGCATACCCAGCAGGACATTGCTTTAGCCTGGGAGCTCCATGAGGACAGTGGTCCATTGGGCTGATAAGCCCTTGGTCTCTAGCATGCAGCCAGTCTAAGCCTTGGAACTCCTGAGACCTGAGTCCTGGCCCAACCTTAGAAGGCTAGCCTATGGAAAGGCATTGGAGTGGTGTCTGAACAAGACACTTGAGGGGCCACTTGGGTTCTAGTCCCTGCCATGGCTGCACTCTGCTTATAGAGATTTTCGGATGGCCTTCTTTCCACCTGCAGATCTGCCCACTAGCCCCGTGGACCTCGTGATCAACTGCCTGGATTGCCCTGAGAACGCCTTCCTGCGGGATCAGCCCTGGTACAAGGCGGCTGTGGCCTGGGCCAACCAGAACCGGGCACCAGTACTCAGCATAGATCCTCCTGTGCATGAAGTTGAACAGGGCATCGATGCCAAGTGGTCACTGGCTCTCGGCCTGCCTCTGCCACTGGGAGAGCATGCAGGCCGCGTCTATTCGTGTGACA